ACTCTCCATAGAAGCCTGTCTATTGGTTAAGTTGATGCTTGCCTCGGGTAAAATCTCCATCAGTGCTTCATCTGTTATGTTTAATCTGTAAAATTCAAGCTCTGCTTCCAGATCTTGTATTTCTTTCTCCTTTTCTGATAGAAGATCATTAGCTTTATCTAGGGCATCTCCATCGTGATCCGCTTGCTCATCCATCATCCTTAGGTAATGCAGGGTCTCCATCTGGAGTGCTGACTTTTCTTCTTGCAACCTTGTAATCATAGCCATAGCCTGGTTGGCAGCTATCGCAGAGGCGTTTCTTTCTTCCTCCAATTCCTTGTATAAGTCATTCACACACTTCCGATAATGCTCATTTTGCCGCTTCAGCCTTTCGACTGGATCTTCACCTTCAATTTCATTGAAAGTGCTTTCATGCAAAGATTCGAGGCTGCCAAAATCACTTCTTTGAGTGAAGTAGTTATCAAAACTCTGAACCCCATAAGGATTGGATTCATCAGTTGCCTCAAAGTCATCATCGCTATGACCTCGTAAATGAATTCCTTCTTCAGAAGAATTCTGAGCTGGCAATGACTGTTCTTTGTTAACTCCAAGGCTACCAAATTCACTTGTTTCCGTAAAGTAGTTATCAAAACTCTGGACCCCAGAAGGATTGGATTCATTAGTCTCCTCATCAAAGTCGTCGCTATTATCTTGCAACTCGGGACAATTGTTAAATGATAATTGAATCCCTTCTGCAGAAGAATTCTGAACTGGCAATGACCGATCTTTGTTAACTCCATTATTATATGTCGGCATAGGTTCTCCCGTAACCAACATAGGTTCACTTTGTTCTACACCACAGACAGGTGGTGTATACACAACACGAGGATGTACCAAAGCAATATCATCTACAAACCGATCAGTTTCAAAATCCGCTCCAGATGATTTGCTTATCAACTTCAGGGCTCTGTCCTTGTTGATAGAAATATTTTCATTTTTACTTGCTTCAGTAACATCTGCCACTACAAATTTCAGATATTAAGCCATATAAGGCCAACACGTATATACACATATACACATAGATAAAGGGAGATAACTTACACTTTCTCGATGATGTTTCATAAGAATTTTCTTTAACATCGACTGACTTGGGCTTATCAACTTTCTCAAGGCAGGATGATGTGGGAATATCATCTAGAGAAATAACCTCTGGCAAAACCGAATGGTTGGATCTCTGATCAGCCAGCTGCTCGTTACTGTCACAGACATCATTGTCGCTGAGAACATCTGGAGGAAAACATCTTACATCATAGTGCTCGCTCGCATCAGACTGCTTCCTTTTAGCCAAATCGCTGCAGAGTCTTTTAGATGGAGCTTCCGGGGCAGAGTGAACTAGATATTCTTTTTGACTCTTGTACACGTCAGGAACCATACAACTGCTAACCTCGTCTTCAGAAAATGGAATCTCATGCTCCGATTCAGAAGTGATCTTCAGCTCAGTGTATCCATCATGAAACGGAGGATCAAATCCAGTTTTTCCAAAACGAGTCTCGGCTGGTGCAGAACACTTCTCCTTTATCTTCTTCGTACCACTTCGACGTCTTAAGCGACATGGCAAATTATTGTTTGGCTTTTCAACAGAAATGCCACGTGATTTTATGGGGGGTAGTCCTTGGGCGTTTTTTCCCGGAGTCCAAGGTTCATTACAACATAAACATACATAATAGCCAATACCCGCAGGATCAGTCCCCAAGTTTCCTAAAGAAACCCTCTGCATATATGAGTTGGATTTGGTATCCTCAATGTGTGATGAGAGACAATTCTCACACAGACAACGACCATCAACCAGCTTCCCATGAATGTTGCAGGCAATCAACGATGAAATCTCTGATCTATGCTTGCTGCAATACAGATTCCAATAATATCCGGGTTCTTCACTTCTGAAAACATGATCAAGCCGAGAGCATACAATGCAAGGCGATTGCAGTCCACAATAACGCGCAAATCTCGTCAGCAGGTAAGAGAAGGAAGCATCAACAAACCGCAGAACGATCAGAAAACATTCACAAGCGGCGGACTTGAGGACGATTGCAAATCCCTTCAAAATCCTTTGTACGTGTGAAGTATCGCCTATAGCCATTTCCCGACAATTTCTCTAGGATACCACAAGGTTCATAACTGGATGAATACCATCAAGTTTTGATCGATGCATAAATCAGTTCTTAACCTTGCAATACAAAGCTGACAATCCCATCCCCGATTCCATGTGGCAAGCTTCGATTACAAGATAAAGAAACAATCGATCAAGTCAGCAATAGCCCCACTTGACAAAATGAACAAATTTTAAAATTTAAGAATGATGTTTAAAATTTTAATTTTTTCTTAAAAATAATGGGTATGCAAAATTTTTTATTTTTTTATTTTTTTCCTTAACACATTAAATTAAATTTAATCACTTTTTTAAAATAATAAGATACAATTAACCTTATTGGTGTTTAGTGCATCCGCCACTGTGGCTATCATCCTATCTTTTCATTCTTTGCATGTAAAGACTTGCCCAAACGATCACCGAAGGGATCTTGGAAATCGATAAAACTCTCTAAGATCGATACATGTATCTCTTAGCTCTTTTTTGCTGATGACCTAATTCTATTATCAGAAGTAGATGTGATGAGAAATGTCCTACAAAGTTTTTGCTCCAGCTCGGAATGTGATGAGAAATGTCCTACAAAGCTTTTGCTCCATCTAGGGCCACAAAGTAAGCATCTCGAGAACCAACATCTTCTTCTTCAAGAATGTACCCGTGATAAAGTTAGTGGAAGCTTTGGGTTCAATGAAGGAACCAAACCATTTTCGATTCTGAATCGATAGAAAGAGAATCAACCCTTAAGAAAGGTATAAGGATAACCCATGAAGTTCTCAACTCCAGAAATCTTGTAACCATGCAGGGAGATCAAGATCGAAATAGAAGGAAGGAAACACGGCAGGCTCCAAACGCCCCTGGGTGAAAATGAACACTGATGGCATACAAAAAACCTCTTCAGGGGAAACAGCATGCGGAGGAGTAATTTGCGATCATAGAGGAAGATGGATAATAGGATATGCTAAAAGAATTGGAATATGCTCATCGCTGGAAGCAGAATTTTGGGGATATATGAGGGCCTACAGACCGCATGAAAACTAGGAGTTGAGCAAGTCCAGCTAGAGACAAATAGTAGCGAAGCAATACAAAAAATTCGGGATGACACAGGTAATGGAAGGAAGCTCACCGTTGTTCATAATAATTAAGTACTTAATAAAATAACACGGTATAATTAAATGATCCTTGAGAACTTTAATTAAAGGATTAAAAAAAACAATGTTCTGCCCTATAATTGGTTATCACCGGGGAAAGTCGGGTAGGAAATGACACGAGGGAGGGAGTTGAACCACGTGACGGATCTGGGCAGCAAAGTAGTTGTACGTGGGACCCAACAAACATGCACCCGTGATGTTTTGATGCTAGCGTTGCCCTCTTTCGCCACGTGTGTCTTCCACTCTGTTGCTAAGCTTAGAGGGGGACTAGTTGCCACGTGTCATGTGATCTTAGTGAGGTGGAGTCTATCGGGTCTTTGACCATACGATCACGTTTTACTTTCTCTTTTTCTGATAATATTTTTTATAATTATTGATAATTTATTAATAAATTAATTTAAAGTAGGTATCATAAAGTAGGGTGATCATCTCAGCTTAGTTTATTCTATTGATAAAAATATTAAAATTTAAATTTTCTAACCTTATTTAAAGAATTTAATCTCTCATCTTAATTAAATCAATTGATTGATAATCTTTTTCTAGTAATATAATTATAAATTAAATTTATTTATTAAATTAGTGTAATGAGATGGTTTAACATTAACGTAATTAAAACTTATTTTTTGAAAAGTTAGGTGTAAAAATCAATTTGAAAATAATATAAATAAATATTAAAGGATACTTTTTTTTCTTTACGCTTAAAAGAAAACCTAATTCTCACATCCTCTAGAAAATCCTTAACAGAGACTGCTGGAAAACTCCTTTAAAGAAAAGAATAAAAAGATGGGATTTGCTTGCAAGGAACAATTTTGAAGAGTAGTTGCTTTCCACTTTTATTTACAAAATTTCCCATCACAAAATTTTAACCAATAGTGGAATATCTTAATTCTAATTTTTTTGGGTAACAAATTGTGGAATTTCATTTCCTTAGCAATAAAGTAAAACAAAAAAAAAGACCAAACTCGGTACTCTAGAATATCTCAGAACCACACGCGCTAGCACAGTTTTATTTTACAGAAACGGATAAAGCTTTATTTAGTCATCAATTTAATAATTTATTTTAATTTAGTCCTTTAATTTTATATCAATACTATTTTATAATTTGATCTCTAAACTTAAATCTTTTTTCAGTTAAGGATGTGACGATTTGTGACTGTGCTACATCATTATCCAAAAAGAGAAGCACATCTTTTCTTTTCAAAATTTTAGAATAAAATACGTTAAATATTATTAAATTGTGTTTAAATGGTCTTTTCAATTATTCAATTTTTAAAAGATATAAAGTAATTATTAAAATATTAAAAATAATAAATTTTATCTAATCATGAAGAAATTACTAATATTCTTATAAAAAAAATTCATTTATTATAACATCATTATAATTTTTTATAATTTTTTAAAAATTAAATAATTAAAATAATTAAGCGAATACAATTTCATAACCTGTATCATATTTTATTCTAAATTTTAATACAATATTAATATATTAAATTCAAAGATTAAATTAAAAAATATTAAAGATCAAATTGAAAATGTTATAAAGTTTAGGGGTTTAAATGTAGTTTAACACGAAAATTACTCCACGTGTCAACTTCTGGTGGAAACTTACAGCGGGTACGTGCACTTACGAGATCCATCAAGAACTTTCTCCCCACTAAAGAAACCGCCACTTTTCTTCCATTTATAAACGTCCCCTAAACCCCCCATCTTCAAAGGACGAACAAAAGCACTAGTACGAATTCACCCGCCATTTCCCCATTTATACTTCACTCAGCTTCTTCAATCTCTATTCAACGATGATGTGGAATCAACCGTACGGGAAAAACGACATGGAGGCCGGAGGAAGGCCTCTGTATCCGGCGATGTTAGAGCCGCCGGAGATGAGGTGGGCTTTCATCCGCAAGATTTACTCCATCATTTCCATTCAGTTGTTGGCTACGATCGCGGTGGCTGCCACGGTGGTTACTGTGCGTCCGATATCTCATTTCTTCGTCGGGACTGGGGCTGGCTTGGCTCTTTACATTGTCCTCATCATCACGCCTTTCATTAGTACGTTTCTTTTTCCCTTCTTCTTCTTCTTCTTCTTTTTTTTTTGGCGTTCGTGATTTGTGAATTTTCGGTTTACGAGAAAAATGAATCGGTTTCTTTGTGAACTGTGCAGCTTTGTGTCCATTGTATCACTATTACCAGAGGCATCCGGTTAATTATCTTTTGCTTGGAGTTTTCACGCTTTCTTTAGCTTTCGCGGTTGGATTGACGTGCGCTTTTACCAACGGTAAGTTTGGATTCTTGCTCTGTTTTTGTTTGATAGAAATCGGAGGACGGAGAAGAACGAATATAAGTATATTTAAATCTTAAATTAAATTTTCAGTTTGTTAATTAAGTTGTGTGGGTGTATTAATCATTTTATTCTCGGTAAGATAAATACATTTAAATGAAGCTTAACTCAAGATATAGTTAAAAGCGAGTATTCAATGAGTTTTTTTTTAGTTGAATCGAGAATAGAGTTTTGTTTATCCTCAAGACTAACATAAAATTTGATGTTAGGTGACAAATTTATGAAGACAGAGAAGGCAAATTTATGAAATTTTAGGGTTAAAATTTTATTATCTATTAATATAAAAAAAATTAAATTATACGGACGATATATTAAAATGCTTCTAATTGACTGCATGACGGTGAACCAACTAAATTTGATGCGCATCCTGCTGCATTCTGAGCAGGAAAGGTTATTTTGGAGTCGGTGATCCTGACGACAGTGGTGGTCGTGGCTCTAACATTTTACACCTTCTGGGCTGCAAGGAGAGGCCATGATTTCAACTTCCTTGGCCCTTTCTTGTTCGGCGCCGTCCTCGTTCTTATGGTTTTTGCTTTGATCCAGGTAATGTGATCTAGTCCTGCATGTTATATTGTACTATCTTTCGTATCCTATTGAAATTACCGAGTTGGTGTGAATGTGTACAGATTCTCTTCCCACTGGGTAGAATCTCCGTGATGATATACGGTTGCTTGGCTTCGATCATCTTCTGTGGTTATATCGTATACGACACCGATAACTTGATCAAGCGATATTCGTATGACGAGTACATCTGGGCTGCTGTGTCTCTGTATTTGGACATCATTAATCTCTTCCTCTCATTGCTTACTGTTTTCAGGGCTGCAGATAGTTGAGTTTCATTTTTGTTGTTCTTTCGAGGTTCATAAGATATTCGTAATGATCACCCGAGTGTTTGCTGTTGATCTTGTTTCTCTCTCTCCTTGTATCAGTTTAGGTGGTAATTGTGAATGATGTGAGGGAAAAGGAGGGATATGTAAGGTTGTCTAAACTACTAAACTTTGATATCGTTGTACATAACTGATTGAATGGAAAGCTCCGTTTTGCTTTCTCTAATACGAGTATGACATAAACACGATATACGTGGGATGGACGGACATTCAAGATAGAAAAATCTTATTTGGTATTTTTTTGGTTCATTAAATCTATCCTTCATTAATTTTTATAAAAAAAAAAATTAATTTTAACTTATTATTATTAAAAATTGAAATTTAATTATTTAAAATGTTTAAAATAAAAATAATTATGGTTAAAGTTTAAAGTTTTTAATATTTAAAAAGTACCCTAATATAATTAGGGATGGTAAAAAAACTGAAATCGTCGGAGAAAATCGAAAATTAAATTAAACGGGTCGAGTTTGAGGATAATAAACGGGGACGGGAAGAGGAAAAATCGAATTTTTTAAACGGGACGGGTTTGGTAATTCCCGCCCCGATTATCCGAATACCCAGCTCTATACCCGACCCGATAAATATTAAAAATAATTATTATTATATTATATATATATATATAATAAATTTAATTTAAATTAAAAAATATATAAAGGGTTATTTAAACGGTAACGAGGATCCCGCGGTGAAAAATAACCATCTAAGGTAAACGGGTAATTTTCACCACAGGATATTCGTTTCCCCGCGGTTTTTCCCGATTACCCGATGGAGATCCCCGCGTTTTTTTAAACGGAGACGGGTATGAGTTTTTAAACGGGGACGGGACCAATCCCCGGCCCGAAACCGTCCCGTTGCCATCCTTAAATATAATATTATAATTATGTACTATATTAGAATCATTCTAAATAAATCAGGTCGAGATAAGTTTTTATATAAATCTGAAGTGTAAGTTTTTACTATATTGGAATTATTCTAAATAAATCAGGACGAGTTAAGTTTTTATATAAGTTTGAAGTGCAAGTTTTTACATAAAATTTGAAGTTTTGGATTGGATGGCGTCTTTTTAAATTAGAATCAGTGGGAATGTAGGAATTTAATTTTTGGTAAGCTCGGTGGACTAAATCTTTAAATCTTTAAAAAAATTGACTCGACTCGTTACCACAACACGAATCAGGTCATCTCTCTTGTATTTTCCTATGAAGGCCTTCGAAGCATCCATTGAAACAATCGGGTTCCGTCTCCTCCGACCACATGTTGCCGCCGCAGAACAATGCAGAGCGGAATCCACCCTGTCAAACAAGTGCATCAAGCCCGTCCTAGAAGCTTCGACATAAGTCGGCTGTCATATTTGTCTCGGAAAATCTCCGTGAATTTGCCATCATGTATAGTAACATCATCCATATAAAATGCCAAACATGATATAAATAATTAACATGTAACTAGACTATATCAATCAAACATGTCTAGTAAGTTGGAATTTCTTACAATTACATATGTAATTATTAGAGAAACAATTATTTTCATACGATTACTCTATAATTGCTCTAACAAGGTCGTCCTCAAAGTTTTAACCTTATAACTGAACCCTACACTATTATGAATTGTTCATCAGATTAAAAGAACCAATTTAGATGATACTATATCTTGTTCGGCACTTCCATTGAAACCTAATCTGTATGTACATTTCAAATGACCAGGAAGCCTTAGGCTCATGCATATATAACCTTAATCTGTATATATCCATTCGAAATGTCAATGGCAAAATTCATGAATCTTGTACTTTCACAACAAACATATGATTGGGAAATGATTGAACTTTCACAGAGAATGATTTATGGCAAAATTCAAGCATCTTGAACCCAAACCCTTATTGTTCTATCCCCTTCAAGCCCAGCAGAGGCAATTTTATTCTCAACAGGATGGCAAGTCACGGATACAACTGCATCCGAATGGCCTTCGAGTCTCTGAATCATGGCCTTGGATTGAAGATCCCATAGATACACACATTTATCCTCCGATCCACTAACAATGTACTTACCACTCGTAACGGAGAATGTCGATGTTATGCAGTAAGCTCTGTTTGTATGCCCTTGATAAATCTTCAGAAACTTCCCTGTTGAGTAATTCCAAAGCTTCTGTAATCGAAAAGAATGACTAATTAGGGTAAAATTAAAGGGAGTTCATGTTAATCTTCAGAATTTAAATGGTGTTTTTTTTAATTTACGAGAGTGCTGTCTAGAGTTGCAACGAGGATGAATTTCCCGTTGGGGGAGAATTTAGTGAAAGAGACGCCGGGATCTTTGTCGTCGATTAGGGTTTTCAAGCAAGTGCCTTCTTTGGCGGCCCAAATCTTGCAGGTCCCATCGTGGCTACCCGATACGATCAGCGAACCGTCGCGATTGAAGTGAACCGACGTCACCGGCATGGTGTGCGCCCGAATTAACCTTACGCACTTCCCCGTTTTCACCTCCCAGATGCGAATCGTCTCATCGAAGGATCCCGAAACGATGAGATTCGATTGCGGGTTGAAGTTAACGCAGAAGACGAAGTCGGAATGTCCTTTGAGGATCTTGAGGCAATCGAACGGTGGACGCGCGTCCCAGATGCGGAGAGTACGGTCGTCAGAGGCGGAGCAGATGTAGTGGGAATCGGATGACCAGGCGAGGTCGGAAATTCCTTCCGAGTGGCCAACGAGGCGGTGGAGGAGGGAGAGGGTCGAAGCGGACCAAATAATTAGGGTTTTGTCGAGGGAGGCGGAGGCCAAGAGGGTACCGTCGTTTGAAAATTTTACACAGGATATGGCGCGTTGATGACCGGCTAGCGTTTTCAGGTGACGGTATGGCTTGTAGCCGGCGGCTGACGGTGGCTGGTTGCTGCTGACGCTAGACATTGGGTGGATACGGCGGAGCGAATGGAAAAGCTTAGGAAAGCTTTATAATATCTAGTCTCTAACGTAGCTGGCCTGTTCGTTTGATTAGTAGCGCCCAATATAAGTTAGTTTATGTGTGTATAAATTAAACATATATACTTTGTCCACAATAAATTGCAAGTATTTCATAAATGGTATTCGTAATAAGTGATTTTTTAAAGTTAATTAGTATACTATGTATAGTGTATTGTCCAATAATAGTGATCCACAAACAGATAGCAACAGTAAGTTTTTTTTTTTTTTTGTATAATTTTAGCACCGCAGATTTAATTTAAGAAAAATAAAATTTTTGGTTCAGTACATGAAACTAATGTAATTGCGGTAATTATGATTTTGAAATTGAAATAGTAAGTCTACCTCTTCTTTGCCTTACTCGCGTTTATTGTAAATGGTTGTCCCTTTTTCTCATATATATATATATAGGGTAAGGGGAGGTAAGATAGTAGGTTATCCCCAACATCAGATTGAGAGCAGCTTCCGTAAGAGACCTCCGAAAATCAACATACATGTGCATGCCTGCTTGAGCTGTTTTATCTCATCCCAGTTTCAAACTTGTATTTCATTTTGCTTTATTTTATTTACCATTAAAATGTTTTGCAGGTTCTTGTACAAAATATTCCTCCTGGTCCAGATGAATCAGTTAGTGAGCATGTCCAACATTTTTTTCGTGTAAATCATCCTGGTCATTATCTTACTCACCAGGTGAATTTTTCTTTGACAACTTTTCACCTATGATAATTTGGCTGTTAAATAAATTCTAAGTAGCACCAGTGCAGGAAATAAGAAAAAATAGATGATCAAACAGGAAATCCTATGTTACAAGTTTTTGGATTGATGCTGTCTTGAAGTATCATGTTTCTATTTTACACTGATAAATTTCTATTGCATTAACTGCTTTACTTTGTAACTTTGATAGATTGTATATGATGCAAATAAGCAACCGGCATTGGTTGCCGAGAAGCGCCCCTTACAAAATTGGTATATTTACTACCAAAACAGGTATGAGAGAACTTCAAATAGGCCAACCACAAAGGTAATATCTTTGCATGAAAAACTATATTTCGCTTCATTTCCGTTCTTGGCAGAGTAGTTTGTTTAATATTACACCAACTGGCATTTGCTATTCCATGTAATTTTCTGCTGTTTAGTTCGTTGTCCAAATTTCTTGTTATTATAGACAGGTTTCATGGGTCTTTGGGGCACTGAAGTTGATGCAATAGATCATTATTCTTCTCTGATTCAGAAGCTGAGTGAAGAAGTAAGTGTTGGTAATGCTCAATCCCACATAGTATTGGAAATACTATTGGGAATGAGTATTTAAGGTTTGGATTTCTCATTTTCTTGTTGAGTGATAGAGAAGAAGGGGACTCTCGCGCACAGTTGCCGCCGTCGTCCGTCTCGTTTGTCTTCGACATGTCCGCGCGGATATTATCTTTTTAGAGAAAATTCTTGAGGAATTTTTCTTTGAAAGAAACAAATGAAAAATATGAAAGATTTCAACTGATATTTATATGCTGCTGAGTACTGTTTAAATTCAAAATGATGACAACTGATTTATGAGTTATCATAAATTAAACAGATTTTTCCTAAATTAAATCAAAGAACGTTAAGATGTATCTGGACTGATTTCCAGCTTTGTACATAGTAGACAAGCTGTTAATATCAGGAGTTACATGAGTTATTTGATTTAAATCCAGGGGTTACATGATTTAATTCCAGGGGTTATAACAGTTGAATAATGATGCAATGAACATGGACTATTTTTGAGTCAGATTCATCTATACGTTTCAGCTGTTACAAAAGAAGAGATTTAATCCTAAAATTTTATGGACGATTTTAACCCTATTTCTAGCCTATAAATAGAGAGTTATATTCAGCTTCTCAACTCACTCTCTAAGTGTTTTCTAAATATTCTCTCCGTGTGTTTTCCGATCAGAAAAACAATACTACCAGTAGTCCACTCCGGTTTCGGGTGTACGGAATTCGGAGCGACTGTGTTAACCTCGGGGGACGGTCCGCCTACTGCAGCAATTACACACATCGGGGCGAATTCGTTTCTAAGGCAGTGATTTTTACCACGACACGGTTTACGAATATGTTCATTTTAATTACTGTTTATATTTCCAGTCAGTGCTAACGATGTAATTTTGCAGTTCATATATCCAACAGTAAGTAACGTGGTGACTGAGCTGGGATTCTTTTTCTCTTTTTAAATATCTTTGTTGTGCAAAATTTGTCGTGTGATGAGGTAATACTTATTAGAATTTCCTATAAAGGGTTTATATCTTTATTGGCCTATACCGTTCCTATTCTTCATTTTAAAAAAAAACTAAACATTTCTAACACCCGTGTCCAACATATATTTGGATTTTTGTATGGTTCTCTACTGAACCTCCAAATACATGAGAAAAAACTTAGACGTACCCTTGTGGGACATGTTCCATATTCAAAAGTTACTCCCAAGTAAATGGATATTGGCTATGGCTACTTTGTCTATCTTGGTTAAGCATTCCCTCACCATCATCCTTCCAGGCACATGTACATTGACACATGAGAAAAAGCTTTATTTTCTCTCTTCTTATTCAATTAAGGGAAGAATATATAGGCAGAATCAAGGCAATATTAAGATGATATGCAGTTTACCTTCCGGGCAACGCAATGTTATCTCCCTCGTCTTTTTTCATCCCCTTAGTATTTTCTTTTTCTGCAGTTAATGTGCAGTTTAGTTACTCATGACAATCAGAAATTCCCTCAATCTTATGCAGGAAGCTGCTGAAAGGGAAAGAGTCTCGCATGATCCTCATTCTATAGTTCCAGCGGCATTTGTTTCATTCAAATCGCGATGGGGGCAGCGGTCTGTGCTCAAACTCAGCAAAACCGTAATCCTACAATTTGGTTGGCAGAATGGGCTCCTGAGCCTTCGTGATGTTTATTGGGATAATTTTGCTATACCATATTTTGAACTCACCATTCGAAGGTTGATAGTGGCCGTTGCTCTATTTTTTCTAATTTTCTTCTTCATGATCCCTATAACTTTTGTTCAATCACTGGCCAACGGCCAACCTTGAGGGGATTCAGAAGGTTTTTCCTTTCTTGAAGCCATTGATACAAGTGTAAGTTTCTTGAAGTATCTTGTCTCGGGTTTCTTTCTATTAATTAAGCACCTCCTCATGTGTCCCTCAATATTTTCCTCCCTATAACTATATTGTCATTAAATACGTTGTTTCCATTTTTCATTTTGCTTGAATTCCGAGCAATGAAGGTTTCCCTTCCCTCCTTGCCGCAAGTACTATGTTGTTTTGAGACACTTAGTAGCTAAAACTTTCCAACTAATCTGAAACTTCGTTTCAGGGAGTCGGTCAAATCCGTCATCCAAGGATTTCTCCCTGGGATTGCACTGAAGATATTTCTTGCTTCACTTCCAAAGATTCTTATGACAATGTCTATAATAGAAGGATATCCATCGTTATCATCTTTGGATAGAAGATCAGCTGCAAAATATCACATGTTCATCCTTATCAATATATTTCTTGGAAGCGTTATCACTGGCTGCAGCTTAAAACATTCCTCGAGAAGCCTCCAACAGAATATGTACTTTTTACTTTTCACCAGAAAAAAATGGATGGGTTTTCATATCTAACACTTTAATCACCGAACGATGCACAAAGATTTAAATCCGATTTGGATCGGATAAAAATTGATCCGGTTTTTTCACCTAGCCAAAAAACCGGATTTTAAAAAAATCGGTTTGGAGGGCAGGATGATGTAACCGGTTTTGGTTTGAAAAAAACCGGTTTTTAATCCGGTAAAAAATCCGCTCCATCCAAATAATCCTTCAAAGCTAATTTTTTAAACCCCAAACCGAATTTTTTTCGGATAAAAAATCGGTTTTTTATCCGGTAAAAAATTCGGTCGTCCAATTTTTTTTCCAAACCGGTTATATTATTCGGTTTTAAAATATCCGATCCGATTTAAAAAAACCGATTTTTCCTAAATCCGATTTCGGATATCTTTTGCACAAAATCGAATATTTGAATTTTGTATGAACTTATGCCGAACGTCCCCACACGTCCCCCAAACTATGACTCATGCTAGATTGCTCCCCAAAATTTAAATTTTTTTACATTTTGAGATCTCAAACTATCAATATGTTTATGACAGGTTCTTTCGGTGGCTGTCCCTTTTTCCCATATATATATGGTAAGGGGAGGTAAGATAGTAGGCTACCCCCAACACTAGGTTGAGAGCAGCTTCCGTAAGAGACCTCCGAATTATGAAATGCCCTCCGTGGGACTCGATCCCACGACCTCAAGATTAAGAACCTTGTGCTCTACCAACTGAGCTGGATGATCATTTTCTAATGACAGATTCTTTCAGTCTGATCATTAAATGCCAGTTTTGATGTGATGTGGAATATATTTAAAACACATAGATCAAACTTTAAATACTGTGCACTTATTCCTTGGACGACTTTGATTTGATATGTTAAGGAAAAAGTAATAACCCTATTCAATTTTAATGACACGGTTTGCTTTTTAGCATGCCAGATTCAAACAGTCCATGTTGCATGGGTACACATGTTTAGAATTTGACCCAATGTTTGATCTATGTATTTTCAACAGGCTTCTTACAAAAATAAAGTTTAAGATATACTTAAAATTAACTTTTTTTAATGTTAATTTTTGTTGTTGTTGGGTTACTTAAATTTCTTTAACCATTTATTTTTATATCAAACATTTTAAATATGCCTCATGTCATATCTAGTCTGACGTTTAAGAGAAAATAACCTCAGTGACCAAAAATCTTAGATAATATACGATTTTGATCAACTTTTTTTGGATTTGCGAAAATGACCAACAAAATCGCAATGTGATCTCTAATTCGCATTGCGATCTCCACTATCGCAAATTCACGTTGCATTTCGCATTGCGATAGTTGAAAATCGCGTTGCGTTCGCATTGCGATCTCCATTATCGCAAATTCACGTTGCATTTCGCATTGCGATAGTTGAAAATCGCGTTGCGTTTTTCCATTTCGCATTGCGATAGTTGGAGATCGCGTTGCGATTTTCCATTTCGCGTTGCGATAGTTGAAATCGCAACGCGATCTCCATCATCGCAAATTCGTGTTGCGATAGTTGGAGATCGCGTTTTTCCATTTCGCGTTGCGATAGTTGAAATCGCAACGCGATCTCCATCATCGCAAATTCGCGTTGCGATAGTCTACAGTTGTCGTTGCGATTTTCCAAATTCGTTGAAAAAAAGATTTTGTTTCTTAAGAATTTTCTCTAAAAAGTTAGTATACGCGCGGACGTGTCGAGGACACGTATTACCACGACCACGACCCGACCCGACCCGACCCGACCCGACCCGACCCGAGACGGACGGCGGCGGCGGTGCGCGAGAGTCCCCCTTGTTCTCTATCACTCAACAAGGAAGTGGGAAAGCCAAGCCTTAAATACCATTCCCAATAGTGTTTCCAATACAATGTGGGATTGAGCATTACCAACACTTGTTTCCAATACAATGTGATTATTCAGGAAACAATTAACAATCATGCACCTTAAAACAACTGAATCAACAACCAATTACATTAGTATTATACGATTAAATATGTCATAATTAAAAGTCAATCTACAATCAATCGCGATTATTGTAATTTTAAGCAAAACATTCAAAAATAATATCACTATTTAAGGCTCAATCCCACATAGTATTGGGAACAAGTGTTGGTAATGCTCAAATCCCACATAGTATTGGAAACACTATTGGGAATGGTATTTAAGGCTTGGCTTTCCCATTTCCTTGTTGAGTGATAGAGAACAAGGGGGACTCTCGCGCGCCGCCGCCGCCGTCCGTCTCGTCTCGTCTCGGGTCGGGTCGTGGTCGTGGTCGTGGTCGTGGTAATTCTTAAGAAACAAAATCTTTTTTTTTAACTATCACAACGAATTTGGAAAATCGCAACAACAACTGTAGACTATCGCAACGACAACTGTAGACTATCGCAACGCGAAATGGAAAATCGCAACGCGAATTTCAACTATCGCAACGCGAAATGGAAAATCGCAACGCGACTGTAGACTATCGCAACGCGAAATGGAAAATCGCAACGCGATTTTCAACTATCGCAACGCGAATTTGCGATAGTGGAGATCGCAATGCGAATTAGAGATCGCATTGCGATTTTGTTGGTCATTTTCGTAAATCCAAAAAAAGTTGGTCAAAATCGTATATTATCTGGGATTTTTGGTCACTGAGGTTATTTTCTCGACGTTTAATGTTCAGTGATATTCAATAATTGAAGGACTTAATTAGAATGCTTTGAAGTTGGACCGGTTTAGAATCAAAGCATGGCTTAGATGTTTGATGCAATTAACTCCTACCACTTAATGGTATTCCCATCAAGTACACTGAAATTAATTGATTGTCGACAACCATAGGTTTTTAGATCAACAATGATTGGGTACCCTTGCGATAGAAATTTGTACCTTCTTGCACTGAATTCAAACGTGTGACACATGCACACGCAACCATAATATTTCTAAAATTGATGTTGGAGCTGGACTGATGAATGCCTTCATTTTTTTTTATCCTTTAGTTCCTTCTATTTTCTTCTCAGTTGCAATATTTTACGCTTTTCGCTGCAATGATCTTACATAATATGATTTGATATTCTGCCGACGAGCTCATAGCCTCATACAACATTATGTCCGTGCCATCTATTTTATTTCAACTTTTCATTTGTCTTGAAATATCCATATATAACACTCGTATTTGATGTGTGTCCGACACAACCGAGTTCAAGTAACAAAGATGTTTGCATGCACCAAACATGGCTCTCTTTCTCATGCCATATGGAGGTGTGATTAAATCATTTTGCTACTTTGTGCAGGATCCCGGAAACCATTGGGGAATTTATCCCACTGAAAGCCAACTTTTTCATAACCTACATAATGGTGGATGGATGGGCAGGGATCGCTGCAGAAAGCCTGAGATTAGTAGTACCTTTGATTCTGTTCCACTTGAAAAATGCATGTTTGGTTAAAACAGAACAAGATAGAGCTGAGGCAATGGACCCTGGTTGCATTGATTCTTTTCCAGTTATAGATCTTGCTGGGACTTTTGATTACAATAGTTTAAATTCTAATTATTGTATGATGTATAAATTGTGTATTTATTTTTTGTACTCTAGTTTAGTTAATTTTCGCGTTTGTATTGAACGAACTGACAATCGGAACACTTGAGAATCGATTGTCTGAATCCGGTTCCGACAACCTTGGCTACATAAAATATACATTTTAAATGGAATTTTTACGCTGGAATTACTGAGAATGGTGGTTCTTTGTTTGTGGGTGCAATGCAAGATAATCAACGTGTATGATCAAAAGTACGAGAGTGCAGCTGCGTTTTGGCCAGACGTGCATAAGCGGATGATTACAAGTCTAACAATATCCCAACGTCTGCCCTGCTGCTGGGATTGTTGACCACAAAGAAGATTGGCAAATCATATTACGCTGTCCTTCCCCTCCCTGTTCTCACCATCTGGTTCTACGCTTTCCGCAACGGCCGCTTCGAGTTGGCTTTCGTCAAATTCCCCTTGCAGGTACCTAATGTCTCATCTCTCGTCTTTCGACACAGACGTTTCAAGTTCTGAATCTAGAATCCAAATGCAGGAGGCAATGATAAAAGATACACTGGAACGAGCGACGGAACCCAACTTCAACCTAAAAGCATACCTGAAAGATGCATACAAGCATCCGGTATTCAAGGGTACCGACATGGAGAGGCCGCTGTAGTCCTTGTTCGAAGAAGAGGGCAGCCCGCTCGTTCCCACAACCGGGATTGCCAACAAACAGTCTCCATCAACTACTGCCTCCCTTGCTAGTTCTCAATCTCATACTTGATTTACTTTCATTTCCTTAGCCTAATATAATCATCCCCTTATCTTCTCAATTTTCAAACTTATATCGTATTCATGTATGTATATTTGTACGTTTGTATGATATACTTTGGCTTCTCATTACTTGTGGGGTTCAGCTTTGGTATTCTCAGATTCTTAACAAGTTTAGGGTTAAATTTAAGGTTTCTTCACGTCTCTCTTCTCAGTTATTCTATTAATCCGAAAGGTTAAATCGATGTGATTTCCAAATTATCGGTTTGATTGATTGAATTAGAATATTTGGTTATGCGAAAAAAATCAACAGGATGAAACATTCGTGTTGTGTTTCAATTGCATCATATCACAAGTAGGGAAAATTAAATAAATAAAACTTGAATCAAGCATATTTACAAAGAATTGTTTCTTCATTCCCCTGTTTTAAAGCTCTCTACATGTAATGATATGCACCTATAGCAAGTGGCATGTTTGCGTAATAGTAAGGTACCTGAAAATTTAAGCTCCGGTTTTGATAATCAATTCGGCAGCTGTGCCGGCAGCATCGGCACCACCCAGTCCAAGCAAAGCTATAGCCAATTCTTCCTCATTCCACTGCCTCAATCCGTTGCTCAGCCTTTTCAAAACATCAACATCAATATCCAAAACCCACTTGTGTGTGCACCCCACCAGCAGGCTCAAAAAGCCGGTTACATAAGCACGCCAAGTGGCATAATCACATCCCAGCGATATTTTCCCGTCTAATGCGCTCGCGAGAAATTTTAAATGCATAGCGAGTACCTTTGGTCGCCGTTTGGACGCAGATGAGGCTGAATCCACGCCCCATGCAAAGGTACCACAAAGAACAACGAAGTAGGCAAGTGCATAACCGCATAGCATGGAAACTACACCTCCAGGTTCCCAGTGGTTGGGTGTATGGGCTGATATGAACCAGGAAGGTAATGTTTCTTTGATCAATGATTGGACTAAGCCTAATCCGCCGGACAGCCAAATCAATGAAGCCCCAAGTGAAGCAGCTAGTTTGACTCGTTTCATAGCCATTCCAAGAGAAACTTGCCCATACCTCAGTCCAAACTTCGTCTTCTTCAGTTTCTCCATTTTCTCCCTTGACAACCCACTCCTGGCAATATCTCTCACAGAAGATATTAAAAGAGAGACAATTTCTTCGTTCATAAACATGATATCTCTGACTTTCCGATGTGCTCGTAAGTACATAATCCCCGGGGCAACTGGAGCCATTCCACCGGAGAAATGAGAGCCAAATCCATGGCCGAGGACTGCACCCACTCCACCGCTGCTGCAAATAATAGAAGGGCTTAATCCAAGAGTAACCGTGAAGCAACTCCTAAGAAGCTGAACCACAGCATCGCTGTTGTGATGGAAGACAGTACAGGAAGCAGAGAATACGAGGAAATCATTCCACCGCTTAACCTTCTGAGCCCACAGAGCAGAAATGATGGGCATGCACGGCCAAGGACAACCTCCACCTAGGGAATTCAATGCTGGGCCTATTAAAATGAGGAAGCGCTCGGAGGTTTTGTCAAGTTTATAGGTTATCGCGAGGCTAACAAGGGCAGCCAAGGGCAAAGGAAGCATAGCCGGAGAGCTCTCCTCTGCAAGCAAAAATAAAGAGATGGAGATAGAATATTAGCCGACCAATCAGTCAAATTATAGAACATGCTTAGGATAAAACTCATTTTTAGGACATTTTTAAAATTGCAAGGGTCCAGATATATCAGTGGAGACAAATCTGTGTCTAAAGAACATTAGGTCAATCCTCATTTTGCATTCCCATTCCATTTACGTTTCCATTTAGTGTTCCGAAGTCCAAATTTGATCTTTGTTTTACTTTCTCTTTTTCTTCTAAATTACATTTAAAATTGCAGAAAATGTTACAGTGGGCAGTATAACGGAAGCAACCTTTTCTTGAAAGGTCACTTCTGGTGATACAAATCGATAGAAAGTTATCATTATCCAAAAACTAATATTTGGTAAAGGGGAACAAACATGATGGTAAGAATAATACCTGTTTCAAGGCTTGGGACATCAACACCAGTGGCAGCTATAATTTTTTTTATTTGTTGCTCGACAATGGATAAATTAGCCAAGGGACTTGGCCAATCTGTTCCATTCATAAAAACTGGCTTCCATATACCTCGTGTTACTTCAGCAGAGAAGTAGCTAACGATGGTTCCCAAGGTTGCTGGAAGGAAATCAGCAAGATCTTTGAGTCCTGAGATATTGCAGGCGAAAAAAAAGAAATGGCTAAGTATCAAATGAACAAAGATATTGAAGAGCAGGATACCATTTCCTTTATAAATTGATTACTGTAGCAAGCCGGCTGCCGGCACACACACTGTTTATGAAAGATTCAGGGTATAATTCAGCAACTTAAAAAGACTGATTGTTTCGATTATGCCACACACAAACTGTTTGCAATTACTCCTATCCTATGCACTATATTATATTCCCATTTATTTAGTTTTACAAAGATTGATTTAGATTGTCAATTTAAATCTAATAATATCATGTTTTAGAATAGAAAACAAATTCGCAGTCATATAACATAAACTTTATTAGAATACCGGCAATTAACCATAGAGGTCGTTTTACAAAATTACTGCATTGACCCCAATGGATCACAAAGAACAACATATAATTCATATTCAAAAAGTAATTCCTGAAATATCACCCCAGCATTCACATGTTACGAGATTGAACCCACTTTTATCTCAACAATAAGATATTATCTTGGTCTATTCTTAAATAAGCTCTTGGTATACTAATACCAGATCCTACCATACCTCTACCAATATTGTTTTCCATGTCTATGTTTACTCTGTATGTTGCTCCGACTCTTCATTTACACTTTGTCCAACAAATGGTACGGGAGTATAACCTCCAAGCATCCTCCGAATACATGGAAACACTTGGAACCCGTGCAGGACACATCTGTGTCCAACATTTCCATCTATGTCCAAGTAACATAGCTTAAGAATGGACATACCTGTCGCTAGTTCACGTGGGGCGATTCTTCCATGGGCACAGGCTGTCAAAGCAGCGTCAAGCACATATGGAGTCCCTTCCAGGATATCCCATGCTGGCAACTTTAGTCTTATCAAGATATCCTCAGCTCCAGTTGCAGAAGAACTACTACTCCCGGAAGTCGTAGAAGTTAAAGACTGTGAACCCCTGCCTATCTTCCTGAACATCATATTGAGGAGCGCATCAACAATCTGATGAACAGTTGTCCCTTGTACAAGTCCTGAGAGGGTTGAAGCAATGCATTCTTGATGCTGCCGGTACCAGCATTTTAACTTGGGAAAGGAATCCATAAATATGAGTTCCTTAGGGAAGTTCAAATTTTTTGAAATTCTTTTAATTTTTAAACGATCCTTCGGTGATTTTCCAAAAGCTGATAATTTAGAGTTTCGAACCATCAACAGGTACTCTGGACTTGGTTGAGATCCTACTGGTGTTGCATCTCTCATCACATGTTCAACGGGTGGTTGATCAAACTTCCACAACCTCAGTAAAAGAGTAAATGCATTGCTGAAAACAGCATGACTAGTCAGCTCTTCCCCTGTTGGAAGGGTCCATGAACCATTCGGAGCAGTTGACCCAAAAACCTCACAAAGGGGCATCAATGCACCAGCAAGTAGTGGAACCTGATATCAAATAATGTCGGTGAGTGGAGATCATAGGACTATACATTGTGGATATGTGCCACAGGGATGCATCATTATTCAGTAATGCAATTGTCTCTGTCAATTCAGAAAGCAACAGCTTCTAATTCTTAACAGTCCAAAATTAAATCTAATTCCCCTCAGTTATACACAGATTGCAGAAAATCTAGGGTTGGCAAAACAATCTGAACCACTGGTTCCAACCAGCCCTGACCCTGTAAGGACCTCTTTTTTTGAAAACAGGGTGCAGGGAAGTTTTGAGATTAACAGGCAGTTCTAGACCAAATCTTCCTGCCCTGGGATATTAACTAAAATGCCCTTCATTTAAATTTATAACTATTCTTAATCATAATTTCTTAAAATTTATTATAGTTTATAACATTAATTTGGTTTAGTCTTTTAAAAATTAATATAATACATTGTGTAAAATATTAAAATCCATTCGTAACTAATTTGCAAGATATGAGGAGGATCTTTTCAGTAAACTCTTTGAAAACTAGTTCCATGGACCTTTCTTCAATTCATACAACATAAAAATATTCACATGTAAGCCAGCAGAAAAAAAACGAACAATGAAAAGTAAAACGTACCATGCCATGTAAAGAGAAGATCTGGACACAATCAACAGATGATATTCCAACAAGAAGAACATTCAAAAATGGGGCGTAACTGATCAAATGGCTCTCACTCCCAGAATAGTTGGCAGGAACTGGTGGTGACAACAAACTTGTAATGAACAAAACAGCTTGTTCCTACAGCAAGCGAGACCCACATAAGCCCCACAAATAGTACAAACGGAAGAAACTTTAATGGGGGGGGGGGGAAACCAAACTTGTCAAGCATTTAAGAAAGATGATGACGAACAAAAACTGTGACAGTAATGCACCTTGTAGGAAGTGACCAACTGTCAAATTACCTGTATATTCCACCCACGAACTAGAGATGCTCCACAAAGAATGCTAGCGGCAGATATCTTGTCATCATTTGATCCTTTGGTTGCAATCTCGTATATTTTCTCGATCTCTGGTAAGCTTCCATCAAATCCAAGAGCTTAAATTCAGTTGTCTTAGCACTGGGTAAATTTACAAAAAAAAAAAACACCTCATATACCTGGCTTCAGGAAAAACAATGCCGTAACTGAAGACCAGGTCATAGCCAATATACTACACAGATGCTACAATTAATCAGTCGAGATACTTTAAATTCCCATTCCCATTCCCAGCCCAGCCCACCTCAGACACATTACCACACAATAATGAAAAAGCTGTATCTGTGGCACGGACACGAAGACATACATTTCTAATTTCTGTATGAGTTTATTTGCTTAAACATGACGTGGATAAGAACTTAATATATAATAAATAACACAATCATACAGAAATAGAAAGACAAAATGATGAATGAAGTTGAAATAATATTAGACCCAAATTTCAAATAACACTTACATTGTCCGTAATAACTATAAGCTTTGTTACTCGAACTCAAGTGTAAGCGTCGGACACGAGTGTGTATCCAACACAGGTATGGCTAAATTTTTCTATATATTTGGAGGATCCTTGGACGTCATATCCCCATATCCAAGTGTCAGACGGAAATTGAAGAGTCCGAGTAACATAGACTATAAGGTATAATGATATAATTGGCTTGTTGACATCTTTCAACCATTCAATTCATAAGTTCTCGCAGAAGCAAAAAGAATCACCATGTTTGAAAATAAAAAAAGAAGGAAAGAAAAAAGATAAAAACAATTCCAGAGAAGCCAAAAAGCATTCCAGTAAAACCAATGGTATTTTTTTTATAGAAGTAAAACCAATGGTACAAGTACTCTAAAAAAAACACCCATTCCTTTTTCATATATCAGATCATAAAAAAGGACTAAAAGACGAATCTACTAGATGATTTTATGGTCACTGCAATTGAACAAAGAATTGGATGACAACTCTTTTTAACAAGGATAGTGTTGTGGTTCAGAGTATGTCTTCGGTCATCAACCCCATCTTAGTGCTTTAACTACGCAACCAAGCCACCTACCCTTCCCATTCAGTAAAGCAAGACAAAAATAAAAATATCTAAAGAAGATACATGTCACATCATACCTAGAAGCTGGAGTAGCAATCAAAGCATTTATCAATGCTGTAGTTAGAGGGGATCCTTTCATCAATGACAACCAACCAGGCACTTGACTAGGAACACTATGGGGTATATTTGCACGTGCATTCACATAGCCTGGCCAGAGATATGCGGATGTGTCTAATAGATTTCTGGCAATACAAGCCTCAACAATCAAATGTCGCAAGTTTCCAGCTGCAATGGATACATAATATTGTAAAATATACCCAAATGGGAATATTAGTATTACACATGCAAATTGGAAAAAGCATTAGCTAGAAAACAGAACAAAATTAAAGGAAAGAAACAGCTACAAAACAGACAAGAGAGTCAGAAAATGGGGCAAACATGTCTGAAATTAATGTAAAGAAAAAGATCGACAAAGTTTTCAGAAAATATAATATCTAGAAAGAGAGAGAGACTTGCAATGATTACGCTCTAGCATAGCAGCTAAATAAGAAAAACCAATCAGATCAAATAATCAAATCCCTTACATAAGAGCATACTTGAGGGGAACATTCGTAAAACTTTGATATAATAAAATAGTAGCTATCACTATTCTGTATGCACTTCTTACTAGGAACTGGCACTATCAATTTATGCAGCATCACATCTCAAAATAGCCTGAATTTGACTAGTACAAAAACACATCTCAAAGTGGCCTTACTAGATAGATAACCCCATATCAAAGGATGAAGGCTAACAGTGCTTACAGCAATTCATGGGCATGTCATTAGCGCTCATGCACTCATAGTATCCATTACCAGCTGTAAGACCAGAAACAAACATAATTGCTTTAGCAGCAGCCTTATTGGCTGCTGAACAAATTGACTGAGGTGGAGTCAATAAAGCCTCAAAATTGGTCAACATCTGTAAGCTGGATATTAAATCTTTACGAAATCTTCCCGTGATTTGCTTCTCTTTTGTTTGATCCATTTGGTTGTAATCACTTTCATCCATTAATTCACTTTCCTCTTCTTCAACAATAGTGGCCACCACAAGTGGGGTAATAGAAAATAACATGCACAAGCAGGTGTCAAGGCGAGGTATTGGACCCTCACTAATGTCCCTTTCCTATGAAACAAATCAAATAGAAAGGAATCGCAGATCAGTTTAAACACGTGAAATACTTGGAAATGAGACAATAATGTGCATGCTTCTCTGAAATATAACTACATCGTTGACAACCAATTTTACTGATAATGACCTAATCAGTTGCCAAAATCATTTTCTTCTAGCAGATATATTATTTAGATATCCTAGTATTTTCCAAGAATGTGTGAATTACCTACTAGGTTGTCACAAGATATCACATAAAATTCCCTCAGAAATTGACAAGAAAATAAGACCCAAATTTAGAGTTCCTTTTAAAGCAGAAAGTCCAAAGCAGCAAACAACAAAGATTGTTTGCCCACAGCAGACACAAGCGCACACTTTTATCCATCTAGAAACATGTATGCATATATGCTATATCATACATGTACATAGACCTGATAACTCTGGACACAATATGATTACAAGATACATGAACAAATAACTTAAACAGGACATGATGGAAATACATGGAAGTGCCAAAATCTACATAATATGAATTATTATCATATCAAAATTTGTATAAATATATAATATCTGAAACACAATTTTGACAAGTGAAAATACATATATACGACGAGAATACAGCAATTTCCAGGTCTACCATCTACATATACACAAAAGCACATATATAGATGTATGTACTTCTGAATGTATATTTGGAATCAGCAAGAAATAGAAGAATGATTGCCCTAAATCAACAAGAACTCAATCAAGTTTGCTGAAATTCTTACCCTCTGAACAAGCCTCAAAGCTGCAATCCATAAACCTAGAAATGTATCATGCCATGTTGTGCCATTGACTGCCTGTAAAGCCTTTACTAAACCTGCAAGGTTGAATCTGCCTTAGTAACATTATTGAGGTACTAGAATCTTTTCTGCTTCACGTGATACAATGTATTGGGCATCTGAAGACAAGTTTTAACTAGTACCAGTAAGTGTTTCAGTGGCACCAGCTGCAGCCACCTTTGATCCATCCATAGCATCCTCAAGAAACAGATCAATAGGAAGCCAAAGTGTAGAAGGACTAGTTCCATGACACTGACCAGATGAAGATGTTAGAGACCCACTGCCCATGACAGCATGAAACTCTTGTCGTGATATTGTTTTACATTCTCTAGACAGAACTTTATGTGTATCAGATGTCAACTGTAGAAGCGTCTCTGGTGTTATATGTTTTGAATTTCGCAATGACATTGACTTTGCTGCAAGAACTCTTAATTGCTGAATGAAGGCTTCCCAATGTGATGGCCTAAGAAGAGAAATGGAATCTAAGTGTCAGCCACATCTTACTCAATCAACTCAAAGCATTGCCAGGACCCCATCCAAATTCAGTAAATCAAATTCTTCACTAAATGATGACATTACATACAGTGAAAAGGTGCCAAATGAATTGCTGGTAATTTCTCATTTGTCTCTTATTCATAGGATATAACTAGCACTATAACCCCTCAACAGAAAGAAAATTAATAACAGATAAAAGTCTTACATGTTTCTCCATGCCAAGAAAAGAATCCTCGAAGTCACTTTATCCTGCAGAAACTCCCCAATTATCTCAATTGCCATCGTCGTATTTCCTTTATACAGAACATCATGGTGTCCATTTCTCATCTTATTACAGTTATCAGCAGTATCTATCTCCATGTCTTCAGTTACAGTAGGCCATATTGATTTCTTTTCTGGTATAAGTTCCAGTAATCCTTCATCTTCTAGAGATGCATCAAGCAGTTGCAATACAACTAAAAAGACAAATTCAACTAGAAGTAGACCAGGTTCAGACACTTGAATGCCAAATATCAGGGAAAGATGTAGAACATCATCTATTGATTTCATAATCCTGTAATTCCAACATAAACTTGCATTAATACGTATTGCAGTAGCTTAGCCAAGTGTCTATGAAAGGATATGAAGCATAGGAAAAAATAGAGAAGTTTACACAATCAAATCAAACCATTTTCATAAAATAGAGGCTGGAATGAATTTAGCAGATAATATTTCTTAAAAGAGGGGAAAATATTGTAAAATATCTCTAACTAATCTTGGATTTTATTCTAACTAATAAAGAGGTCAACATGAATGGCAATTCATAAACAAGCCATACTTCTACAGAAACAAAAGGGGGGGTGAAACCGAAGCTTACGTTTGATAATTTGGCCCGTTGATTTGACATTTAAGCGAAAAGGCATGTCTCCTAAGGAGTTCCATGTAAAGACGATATGCTGTAGGATGAAACTTACGATTTGGAATGACCCTGTTGTAGAACCACATGTCAGTTTCAGTAAAAGAAATAACATATAAATAGGCACCTTCCCACAAAATCATGATCTCACTGGCCAGCTATTGTTGAGCAATATTTGCGGGTGGAAGACTTACAAATAGATGTTTTGTCCAAAAACTGAAATATAGCTATCTAATGACTGCAGTGTAACATAAAATTCCAATTGAGCGGAAAATTTCTTCATAACCAAGAGAAAAAGAATAACAACAGCAACAACAACAAATCCACAATATTGTCAGATACCCTCCAACTTTTGGTCACTCGTGGATTTGTAAATATTCAATTTAGTTAGTACCCCTAAATCTAAGGGATTGTTTTTATTACTAGAATTAGTCTCTTACCTAGTTTAGAAGTTACCTAAGATAAGGCCTAGGCTTGTATATATAATTGTAAGTTTCCTACAAGTTCAATAAGAGTGAATTGCAGTAAAATTCATGGCTTTTGTCAACTCACAAGCAAATGGACAATAAAAGTAAAACGTTTAGACTGCTAATAGCCATTAAAGAAAGAAAAATAGAACCAAATAATACATTAAGTATTTAACCTTTGATGAGGAAACATCAAAAACATCAGCCTTTATCATTTTGTTGCTTTAATTAAATAATGCCATAAAACAGAGAGAAGGATTGAAATGAAAGCAGATGTGATAAATAGGTCCATTCAATGATGAACACAAATCCGCCATAAAACCCAAACTCGGCCATTCCCTCAGCACCACCATCCAGTCATCCACTTCACCACGTATGCATGCATGCATGAATATGAATAGCGGTAATCATCTCTTACACCAGAAACGGAATTTAAAACAATATCATAATAGACAATTGTTGTCACTGATTCCTACATGAGAAAAGGGTCCACAGATTCTACAGTGTCTTGTATTCACATGAACTACGGAGTCTTATTGTGTTTAAAATGAAGTAAGGCATACAAAACGTTGATGCTATCAACTTAAAAGCCAACCTCAGCGAAAGAACCAAACCATAATACAAGTCATCAAAATAATAAAATATAAAATGCCCATTAAAAATAACAAAAAAAAGAAGAAGCAATAGTCACAAATATCATCAACAGTAACTAACGCAAATACAAGCACCATGCCCTTGAGCAAAAGTTTCGGTTTTGAGTGTTATGTAAAGAGCTTCAACGGCAAGCTATCATATACATACGTACGTATGTATTCAAAAACAAGGTTAAATAAGAAAGGAAAATAACCTTATAGAGAGAAGGGCGAGAACGAGCATAGGAGGAGCCAAATTGGCAGTCAAGGCCTTCTCCAGGAACTTCCACGTGATGGGCAAGTGATTATTCCAGCAGATATGGGAGACAAGAAGGTGAGCCAGGTCGATCGAAGGCAATGAAACCCCAGCTGAGTTAAGCCTAGAACTCAGTTGAACCGCCCAAAGAAGTGGGTCACTGTTCTTCTCCTGAGCCGACTTAGTCTGCTCCAGAACCGATTCCCATACCAGACCCTCCCCTACGGAAACCGCCATGCCAGCTGCCGCCTCTGCAAGTTGGTGGTCGGGATTGATTGTACTAGTCTTTACAGTTGAGTAAGTCGAGTAGAGAGAGAGTTGAGCCGATGAATCTCCGTCGCTGTCCCTTCAAGCCATGGCAGCAATTCCAAACTATGGGGTCACCATGATTGAATGAAAATTTATCACAGCGTAAATCAGAAAAGTGGGGTTTTTTTTTGGTAATATGATTGATAAGCAGTGAAAAGGGATTTTTTTTTCTTTTTTGATTTTGACTCAAATTAAAAGGACAATCAAATTTGGGGACTGTTTGGTTTTTTATTCCTCTGCGTGTTCTACAATATAAATCTAGGATCATCCATTTCCCTCTAATATAGTAAACTGCTGCGAATGAATAAATAAATAAATCTCCCGTCCAAATACTAGACCCTGATCTGATATGATCCAGGCCTTTATTGACTAGTCCTCAACGAAGGCCTAGTTTTATTATTATTTAAACTTAATTATAAACTAATTCATAGTAAGATTTGAGTCGATATTTTGGGTTAATATCAGAGAAGGGATAGAGATCTATTTTCCTTTTTTTCAAACTTACCCTTGTATGATTCTAACTCGAAAAATTAGGTGATTTCGAATAAATAAAAATATAAAATTGACTTAAATAATTTGAAATTATGATGAGTTTTATCAGAAAACAATGAAATTTATGGCTAATTTATAAGTGTTGTAACTGTGTAATATATAAGATCATCTAGAAAAAATTCGTAGAATTAAATCTGTTCAAAATTGTTGTTGAAATCCATTGAACTCGTAATGAAATCTTTCAAGTTTTGAATAGCATAATATATATATATATATATAACAAAATTTTGAAATAATAAATTTTAATCATTGGACTTGATTAATAAGAGTGTGTAATCCATTAATTTAATTTTTTTTTGAGTGAAGAAACTCGAAATCAACTTAGCTTATTTTTTAAAAAATAGAAAATTATAACTTATCAAATAAGTAATACTAATATCAATAGATTGCATTACTTTTGTTAACATTTAATGGAGAAATTTATAAATTTCAATTTGAAATTTGTTTTTCTATAATAAATTTTGATTAATTTTAAGTTCTGAATAATGGGTATATTTATTTTGCTTTGGGGAATATTATAATATATTTGAGTTTAAAATATAGGATAAAGTTTATGAGATGTATTCAAAAGTATATAAATTTAGTACATTGATATAAATCCGAATATAAAAACAGCTTAACATGTTTTAACCGACTTCCTCAATCAACCCTAAACCGAAACTAAACCGGATCAACCAAATTATCTCAACCGAGTCGGTTCACTCGGTTTTAACCTAATTTTGCACATCCTACCTCACTAATTGAAACCTGGAAGGGAAATAACGGGAGATTCCGAACCATGGATTAAAAACAATGAAATGTATATGTAAAACCGGTAAGCACTTGCAGACTCCTCCAAATGTTCTCTAGGACATCAATCCTTGTAAAGCACAGACACTGACCAAAGTAACACCAACAAGTACTACAGATATCCAAAGATATATATATATATATATCTGGAAATACAAAGCAAATAAAACAATGGACATCAAATGAAAAACTACATTTACATCTTAGAAGTACAGAAACTCTCATAACACTGGAAAAAATTTCCTAATCCTAGAGAATTAATCTTTCCTTTTGGGGGGTTCTTAAATACGGAGACAGGATTAGCTAGCAGTGGCTACTATATTCGTTGCTTCACCCGTCTACCATTGGCGTCACTCCCGTCGGGATTGGCTTCGTTCCCATGTCTGCATATGATCATGGAGTGCTCGTTCACTCTAGCCACATGCTCCAATAGCTCAGTCAAGACAGACGGGCAACTTTCCTTCAAGTAATCAAAACCATCTGTTTGCATTACAGCTGTAAAACACAAAAAGAAATGAGTCAAGAGACTTTGTTACGAAACCGCAAAATATTGTTATTTATCTCACATAAGAGGGAATGTGACTGAAACAAGAGTGCTAATAATTCGATAAAACATATTGCAGGCAGAATCATTCATTCTAGAGAATAGCAAAGAGATTGTTTTGGGGCACTTGCAGCCAAAATGTTATCTGCACAAGAAAATTTCCTGAAATTGCGATCTTTATGTAACTTGTTTAATAAAGGTACAGAAAGTAACATGGCATCACTCCTCGATCAATGATGATTCCACTTTTAGCTAGAGCAAAACTCATTCCATTAAAACTTGAGGAATACTATCAAAACTCCAGACCATTCATTCAATTGCAACAATCACCCTTGCATAATGCAATATGCAGAATCATGTCACAAGCCGAAATCCATAATTTGGAATTCAATGTAGTAGCAAAGAATGGAAAATCCAAGAATTCAAAAAACAAGCACAGAACTAAAGCTTGGGACAAACCTAACACTTTCTGATATTTGACAGCAGGAAGAATGCTAAGCAAGTGGACTATGGCATGATCAAACTACGTGGAAGATTGAACTTCTATGTGGCTATGACTGCATTTAGCAGTGGCATCTATGGCTCATAACATTACAATATATCAATTCTTAAAAAAGGTCTAATTTATTTACTTTCCATCAAGCTCCTATGTCTGACTGAAAAGCAAGGCTTTGTGATAACGAAAAATGACATTTGGTATACGTTAATATTAAAAATATGATTTTAAAATTAAATGGTATGGCCATTAATCTATAAATAAGATGTTCAAAGTTCAATTTTTATCACTGACAAACATTATTTTAATTTGGTTGCATGTGGTTGACAGCAAAGGATTAAAAAAAAGGACCTGACATCAAGTTATCAATTCAACAGGGTCAACTAGATTATTCAATTAAAATATATGATTAATATATAAATAAGATGTTCAAATTTCAAATTTCATCACTGAAACATTATTTAATAAAAAATAAAATCGGTTTTTGGCCAGTTTTCAGCTGGTTCATGGCCAGTTCAATATATCCCCAGGTATTAAGTAGGTTCCAGATTAGACAAGCCACCAGTTCAAAGTTGAACCAGCTGGATTGATCCAGGTTTTTCTTCACTGGTGGGCAGTCCTTAATTTCAATGATCTTTTTTATAAGAATTGGAGGCCTCGTTAAAACCCCCCTTCATAATCATCAACATACTAAACCGTATGTCAACGAAAATTGGAAGGAGGAAAAGAGTATCTCATGATTTATTAAATAATCAAAACAGTACACCTTAGAAACAAAGAACATTGCGGATTGCCCCATCTGATAATTAGCATAATCAAATAAATCTTCCCTAGTCCCTGCTAAAATAATATTTATACTGCAACAAAATCTTGAAACAACATTGATGTAAATACCAAAGCAAAGAGTTCACCTCTAAGATTTTCCGGCATTGCAACAAACTTGAGACACACGGCTTTCAGCTGGAAACAATGGTGCTGCTCAGCCAAGGCTAATGTAGTTGCCACAGTGTTAATGGTAACATCCTCACAGAGATTGACCTCGCAGAGTAATCGCAACCTATCTAGCCCATACCTATCTGCAGCAGCAAACAGGTGCTGAGACATCAATGTGGAGGCCCACTTTGAGTTGAGACCAGTGAGCTCTTGCATATCAGGTAGAGAATCCCAGTATATAAAGCGAAGTACGGCCTGAAAAGTGAAAAATTAGGCAGAGAAAAAGAGTATCAGTAATTATTACTAAAGAATGCTTGCTATAACTTGATGAATTAATGGTAACTTCAAATTCAGCATGATTATCTTCACTTTTAGAAATGTAAGAAATGCACATACATTGACAACCCACATGTGCATGATATCAAGCAATTAAGGGCTCCAGACAGTACATGCAATAATCATGACTTCAAAAACACAACCCTACCCTAACGTTTCTATTGAGAAGTTTTCACTGACTAGTTACAGGCATCAGGCTTGCTATTAAAAGCAAGTTGATTTGGATCCGAGTACAGTCCATGTTATCATGGCAAGCTGACAGCTTGACACCATGCATCTAGAATTGGTGCGTTATCAAGGATAAGAAGCGAAATGAGTTCTTTCCCCAATATAAGAAGAGGGGGAATTGCACTAAACCTTGAAAACAGGAGCTTCTATATCTTCGATTTTTATTTGCTTTGTATTCTGATCCTTCATTGGTCCAAAAAGTTGTGCCCTAAACACAGGAGAACGAGCAGCAAGTACCAACTTGTGGGCAGGAAAGACTTCCCCATCAACTTCAAAGCTTACATCAGTTCCCTTTCCATTTTCTAGTAATTTCCCAAAATGTTGACAGATGTTTGAAGGCGGAACAGCTATGGAGTAGACCTTAGGACCCTCTGTATGCGACTTAACAACACCAACACTACAGTGAACAGAGAGGCAATCGTCTTTGAGGTAGTCTGATTGCTCCAGTAAAGATCTTTTGAAAAATCGTTTGTATCCCCTGCAGCAGACCAAACTAATTATTACTCACCAATAGTTATTATATATTATGAGAAATAACAGAAACAAATAAACCATGCTTCTTTTTGTTCATTTCTCAGGGGAAAACTGGAGACGGGGTCAAACCCTGGAACGTGGTAAATTCCACAACATAGCAAGCTAATAACCCACAGACAAGAGACTAAGCCTATATTCTAATATATCATAACCAACAAATGTCTTATTAGCAGTTTTTGCCTAGTTAGTTAAGGTCAAAGTCGGACATCATAACATCAAAGGAGTACAGTAATCAAGAGTTGAATATTACAAGAGTTATTCAATCACACTAGCAAAAATGTTGTTGTGTATGTCTTCAATGAATCTTTCCTTAATTGATAGTCACCGAATGCTTTATGACAGAAGAAAAAACCAAGCTACAGTTATATAAACAGTAGTGATTATTGAAATCAAACACAGTTGTACGGAGATAGAGGCATAGCTTCAGAAAAGAACCCTTCTAGGCAAGGATCATACTGGAGGCATATGCAAAACATGATATTTTTTTCTTTGCAAGGAAAAAAACATTAAAACATAAAACATTAGCCTCGAGCATTCAACGTTTAGTCACATGAATAAATAATAGACTTTTCTTTCTCCTTAGTCCTTACTAATCCGTACAAACTTTTCTGAAAACCATACATTGAATTTTAAAAATATTACATTTCTTCTTAAATGAATTTAAATTCACACTGTCATGGGTCATAATGAGAGTATGAGACAAAGCAAAAAATGTAACAATACTAATGCAAATAAAGGAATTTAAAAAAGAATTATGGCAGTTCAGGTTATTGATAACAA